CATTTGAACAAATAAATAGGAGTTTAAATCACATTCTGAACCGAGCGAACTGGAAGCCGCTGTAATGAGGCAGATGGGTGAGATGCTGGTCACGCTTTTTATGGCAGTGAGAAGACGGTGCAGCCTGCGTTCCTGCACTCAGCTGCAGGCGTTAATGTGACGCCTGGTCCATACCCCACCGACACAGCGTGCAGTAGTCAGTCCCTCGAGGTACACAAGGCAATCTAATCAACCTTTCCAGGCTTCTTCTAAAAGATAAAACACGACTTGGTCTTGGCCAATAGTCGTATTTAAAAACAAGCAGGTCTTGACTACGTCTCTGAGTTTGAAATTAACCACGTGAACACACTCATATATACAGTGGGACAAAAAAGTATTTAGTCAGCCACCAATTGTGCAAGTTCTCCCACTTAAAAAGATGAGAGATGCCTGTAATTTTCATCCTAGGTATACCTCAACTATGAGAGACAAAAATGAGAAAAAAAAATCCAGAAAATCACTGTCTGATTTTTAAAGAATTTATTTGCAAATTATGGTGGAAAATAAGTATTTGGTCACCAACAAACAAACACGATTTCTGGCTCTCACAGACCTGTAACTTCTTCTTTAAGAGCCTCCTCTGTCCTCCACCTGTTAACTGTATTAATGGCACCTGTTTGAACTCGTTATCAGTATAAAAGACACCTGTCCACAACCTCAAACAGTCACACTCCAAACTCCACTATGGCCAAGACCAAAGAGCTGTCCAAGGACACCAGAAACAAAATTGTAGACCTGCACCAGGCTGGGAAGACTGAATCTGCAATAGGTAAGCAGCTTGGTGTGAAGAAATCAACTGTGGGAGCAATTATTAGAAAATGGGAGACATACAAGACCACTGATAATCTCCCTCGATCTGGGGCTCCACGCAAGATCTCACCCCGTGGGGTCAAAATGATCACAAGAACGGTGAGCAAAAATCCCAGAACCACACGGGGGGACCTAGTCAATGACCTGCAGAGAGCTGGGACCAAAGTAACAAAGGCTACCATCAGTAACACACTACGCCTCCAGGGACTCAAATCCTGCAGTTCCAGACGTGTCCCCCTGCTTAAGCCAGTACATGTCCAGGCCCGTCTGAAGTTTGCTAGAGAGCATTTAGATGATCCAGAAGAGGATTGGGAGAATGTCATATGGTCAGATGAAACCAAAATAGAACTTTTTGGTAAAAACTCAACTAGACGTGTTTGGAGGAGAAAGAATGCTGAGTTGCATCCAAAGAACACCATACCTACTGTGAAACATGGGGGTGGAAACATCATGCTTTGGGGCTGCTTTTTCTGCAAAGGGACCAGGACGACTAATCCGTGTAAAGGAAAAAATGAATGGGGCCATGTATTGTGAGATTTTGAGTGACAACCTCCTTCCATCAGCAAGGGCATTGAAGATGAAACGTGGCTGGGTCTTTCAGCATGACAATGATCCCAAACACACCGCCCGGGCAACCAAAGAGCGGCTTTGTAAGAAGCATTTCAAGGTCTTGGAGTGGCCTAGCCAGTCTCCAGATCTCAACCCCATAGAAAATCTTTGGAGGGAGTTGAAAGTCAGTGTTGCCCAGCGACAGCCCCAAAACATCACTGCTCTAGAGGAGATCTGCATGGAGGAATGGGCCAAAATACCAGCAACGGTGTGAAAACCTTGTGAAGACTTACAGAAAACGTTTGACCTCTGTCATTGCCAACAAAGGGTATATAACAAAGTATTGAGATGAACTTTTGTTATTGACCAAATACTTATTTTCCACCATCATTTGCAAATTAATTCTTTAAAAATCAGACAATGTGATTTTCTGGATTTTTTTTTTCTTCTCATTGTTGAGGTATACCTAGGATGAAATTTACAGGCCTAAGTGGGAGAACTTGCACAATTGGTGGCTGACTAAATACTTTTTTGCCCCACTGTATATAAATAAATAAATATGAGCACACTCAAAAACCCCTCCTTAAAACAACAGTCAAGTGTACAGTCCACTGTCCATACAAAGACCCAGATGCCTCAACAGGCCATGTCCAAATCTGTATTTCAAAGATTTCGAACAAGGAACCCCAAGATGTGTGCATTATCGGGCAAATGCATCTTTGATTGTAAACTGTTGGGAAAGTGGGGGCTCTCCATCTCCAGCTGCCGTGTTTTCTCCCAGCTGGGAAAACTGAATGGGTAGGTTGTGTTTCAGGTGCAGTTTAAGGTTGGTCGTATTGCTAGCTTTAGTTGCTACCTTTTTAAAACAATTGCAACACACTGCCCGGCTCATTCAACTCCGTAGGTTCGCCTCATTGATTTGGCTTAAATCCAAAATATTCCCACACCGGAGATGTGGTATTAGGTTTTGCAACCACTTCCATTTAACTTCAAATTCCCCTCGAGTAAGTCACACGTTGTCTCCTGCTTGTCTCTATATTATTAATTTGGCTGCTACACTGCTGCACGCTAAGTGTCCTGACCTGGCTGTGTCATGGGCTGTGTGTGAGCCCCGCCCCTCACAGCGTACCAGTGTAAAATGCTGGTCACATCGTTATGTAAACAAACACGCATGTAAACTGCAAGTTATCGAGCTCAGAAAAGTTATTGAGTCCATTTTTATGTATCGTAGGATAAGACAATTGATTGATTATCACGACAGGTCTATGTGTATGGTGTTCTCACAGTCCTGCTTGTGTCCATGCTTCTCAGGTGGATTCTGGCTTGGTGTGGACCAGGAAGGCATGACGGGGAACCTCTCCTTGACAGGCGTCTTTTTCGGGGTGGTGGCCAGCGCATGTGTCTCTCTGAACGCCATCTTCACCAAAAAGGTGATGCCAGCAGTAGACGGAAACATCTGGAAACTGTCCTACTACAACAACATTAACGCCTGCGTCCTCTTCCTGCCGCTCATTCTGTTGTTCGGAGAGTTGGGCAGTCTGGCCAGCTTCAGCCGCTCCTCTGACCTCAAGTTTTGGGGCATGATGACGCTCGGAGGAGTGTTTGGTTTCGCTATCGGCTACGTCACAGGCCTGCAGATCAAGTTTACCAGTCCACTCACACACAATGTCTCAGGTACAGCAAAGGCCTGTGCTCAGACTGTCATTGCAGTGGTGTACAACTCCTCCAGTAAAAGCCTGCTGTGGTGGACCAGCAACATGATGGTTCTTGGGGGCTCTTCAGCCTACACTTGGGTCAAAAGTCTAGAAATGAAGAAGACTCCACAAAGAGTCCCTCCCGACTCAGCGAAGGAAAAACTGCTGCCAGAGGAGAAAGGCAACCTGGGAGTTTAACCATTTTAAGTAGCCTGTGAAATATTTTACTTTTATACATATGACGTGTGAATATGAAGTAATGTAAGCTTCCTTCTTGATGGATTCAAATTGTGGTTGGGTTTAATAGTTTGTGGTTTTTTAATGTTTGACTTGAGGCCTAAAGGATTTTTTATTTATAGTTTATTTAAAGCTGCTCACATGCAATTGGGGCCTTTTTACATTAGTATGTATAATACAATAATGTATCTTTTATTATGTAGTCTACAAGTGAAGAGGGAACAAATCATGTTTTTATTGGAAGGGATGGTATGCTGATAATAGGTGCTTTCACACCGCAGTACTTTTCCCACAAAGGTTCATCAGAACATAGATCATGAGAACTCTTTAGTTCTCATGATCGCGTTCACATTGGAATAAGTCCCTGGGGAAGGATTAGGCAAATGAAGGCGCTGACGTCACTTCTTCTTCTTCTGCTTTGGGTTTACTGGCAGGCCGCAAACAACTTACTTACCGTAGGTAATCATGAACCTTGTTTCAGCCTATTTCAAAGACTACATTAAAGATGATGTACATTTCAACTCTTTTCAAGTGTTCTCTTTTTGAACAAAGTGAGTTTTTTATAATTTGTTTGCACATATGTTTTGGCAATTCTGTCAAAATAATGTTTTTATATTGTATCCATCTTAAACGAAGAGACAGTAGACTGCCATTCAAGAGTTTCAAAAATCCTATATTATTCTGATATTGTATTTCTTCTCACATAATAGCTATTTTTAACAGCAGTGAATACAATATAGTACAAATACCCAATGTATTACCTACAACTGAAATGGTCTTTGCCCCCATAAAATAGAATACAATTATTACAAACTTTTAATGGTTTTAATATGTTGTTAAGTACAGAAAAGCTCAATGGGCCATAGATCATTATGTGATATCTGCCATCTACTCTTTGGTAAGATAAAAGAGGTCTACTGTGATTGATAGTCCGCAGTATGTTGAGCTGAGATTCCCCAATTCAGTTGCGACAGTGTTCCAACCTTTTTATTTAAGTGTGATGTCCAAAAAAAACGCTAAAGAAACAGAAACATGCCTTGTATGCCTACTCGAGGCATTATTGTTCACTAGACACTGAAAGAAGAACCTGTCACTATTTCATGTACAACACAAATCCTTCATAAAAAAATAACATATCATTCAAACACAGACTCATCCTCAGATAATTTCTCATCTGTGGTGTATTTTAATTGTAATATAATCATAATTCAGAATCAGAACTTGTGAGCGTTGATAATGCTGTAGGTGGTGGTTTTAGGCACTTTGATGTTAAAACTATACATTGATTGTTATCTTAAAAAAATCTGAATGTATCAGCACACACTGGATGCCAGTTTTTCAAAGTGACACATTCTTGGCACACGGAGCATTTAGTCACATGCAGAGGTGTCTGATAAGTGAACATTTGAACACCTCCCTCCTGCTGGAGTTAATGTGTAATATGAAGGCACAATGACAAAGCATTGTTAATGTTTTTATGACCACAATGACGCAAATAAGGTGTTCATTCTCAGAACGGCTGAAATGAATACATACAAAATGAAAGGATACAAAAGGAATAAACATACTTATAATTTACTGAAATTATCCCTTTTTAAATCACCAGTAGGATCGGGTTCAAAGCTAGTACATTGTTTAGCATTATGATTTTGGGCAATCTACAGTACCACAAAACTGCTGTTTGAATAAAGAAAACTAAGTAATATATGTTTACCTTTTTTGGTTTGAGACTGCCATCCAAAGAGGAGTAAAATGAGATATTACTTATATATAAAAATAAAAGCAGCTTGATAAAACATGACAAAAAGCTCATTGTTTTGTCCCCACACGGGAGTATTGTGTATAGAAAGTGTTGAGTTATATTTCTCGTGCTACCTAACATCCATGAAGGCAACATGACAGAGGGAGCCCTGCCACTCAGGATGCCAAACTACTCTTTGGTAAGCCCCGCCCCCCCACGCAACATCAGGGCCAAAAGTCTGAAAGCGAAAAAAAACGATCTGAAGGTGAAAAGCAATGTGAAACCTGAAAAACAAAATTTGAAACTGAAAAATAATTGTTTGAATCTGAAACGAAAAATCTGTANTTTTCATCCTAGGTATACCTCAACTATGAGAGACAAAATGAGAAAAAAAAATCCAGAAAATCACTGTCTGATTTTTAAAGAATTTATTTGCAAATTATGGTGGACCATAATTTGCAAATAAATTCTTTAAAAATCAGACAGTGATTTTCTGGATTTTTTTTTCTCATTTTGTCTCTCATAGTTGAGGTATACCTAGGATGAAAATTACAGGCATCTCTCATCTTTTTAAGTGGGAGAACTTGCACAATTGGTGGCTGACTAAATACTTTTTTGCCCCACTGTATATATGAGAGAGAGAGCTCTGTTTTCTAGCCTGAGTCTAATTAATTGATTTTTTTGGTTGTGTGTGTTTTTAATTAATGTGTTATAATTAAATGTATTTGTTTTATTTATTATATACAATTTATATATTTGAATATGATTTCACATTTCATTTGCAATGTTGAATGTTCAATAAAAAGTTATTTTTGTAAGGATGTACTTGAATTATTATTATCATTATGTCAGTGGTCTAAAATGTTCTTACAACGGTGCCGACAATATTATCGTTTAACGCAATAATTTCCGGGAAAATGTATCGTCCAACAAAATTAATTATCGTGACAGACCTACATACACATAAAGCATTTTAACACTTGAACAGTCAAGTTGCTGAGTTTTAATCAGAAATATGCCAAAATCTTTCATTCTAGTATTTTTTCAAGTCATACAAGTAATTAAATAGTATATTATTCCAGATTTTAATTAATGTTATGTCATGTTATTCTAAACAATGTATTGAGTATTTCAAACAGTAAGTATACAACTCTATCCACTTGTTCATTGTTTGGGCCCCATTTAAGTTTAAGACAATACTTTGCTTCAAACTTTGTTGCAAAAGCTAAAAGTAGGCCCTTTTTACTATTTCCCCAAAACAATGAGAGCAACTGTTTTCTGGGGTTGTTGTAGAAAAACTTGACTGGCTTGAGGATAATGCAGAAGATAGATTTATGACACATCTACTAAGAAACTGTTTTATTTTTAGTTGTTCAGCACATGTCAAGTTTCCAAATGAGTCACCTTACTATTAATCTAGTACAGAGATAAAACCCTGCGATATCATCCACACACTCTACAGGGAAAATAACCGTTAACATACCTAGTATGACCCCGCAGCACATTACGGCTTGAAGTGATGTGGTTTGTTTCAGGATGATGTACGACAACAGCACGTTAAACACTGTGCTGAGAGAACGACCGACCGTGTAGAAAGCCACTCCCACATGTTTCAGGCACAGGTTGTTGAAGGTGATCATGCTGATGAACACAATGGACAGTGGAAGGACCTCCCGGGACGTCTTCAAGTCAAATTTGACCGACGGGAAGTCGATGAGACCTGGGCACACTTTGGACAGAAGCTGCATGAGCCAGCACAGTCCCACAGTCACCAAACATTGGTAAAACGTGACAAACAATGGTGCGTCCAATTCTCGGTTGTCCAGCAGATAACTATTGAGAAACACCATTGTTATGGAGACAAACCAGTACAGTGCAACCACAGCTCCTATCCGGACAGCCCGGAGTATGAACGTCTCTCCATCCGGGTTCATCGTTTCCGAGCCGGCTAGAGCCATCCTCAGGATACTGGACCGCTTCAGCTGAGTCCTGTTCATGGTTACAAATAGAGACACTGTGTAAAAATTGCAGCATTTACATAAGCTTATATGTAGCTACATGGTACAAACATGACGACTGTGTTCGGCTAACAGACAAAACAAAAGGACTTCCGATTTAGATTTTCAGAATAAAAGCTCATCTACACAAATCCTAGCTCGAGCCAAACCAAATTATTCTTGGGTATGAGATATGTAATTCCAGTTAAAAATGACCGCACGAAGTGAGATCAACTGTACAGCTTTTGAACAAAATATATACAAAACCCCTGTCGTGCCTTTTCATACACAGAAAAAGTATGATTTCAAAACCATTCGTGTTATATCGCTGGGACAGTTCAGAAGTAGCATGGCAAATATGTTTTGAAATGGCCCAGATCAGAATGCGTACCTTGTGTGTTGGCCCATTGTTACGCCCCACAAAAAGGGCCCTATGGAGCTAACAAAATTCCACCACTGACCCAAATATAACACGAAAGACACCTTTTGAATCCATAGGATTTATTATAGACAACACATCAAATGTTTCTCCTAGGATGAGAAGTAGAGACACAGCAGTCCCCACCCACCAGAGGCTTCTCCCTTCTGCTGCTGCACTGGAGCTTTTAAGCACTTCCTTCTCCAGGTGCACCTCGTCTGAACCTCGTTACAGCAATGCAGCACACCTGGGTAGAGGAACCAACGGGAAAAAGAAACAGGGAATACATACAGCCGTAACACTTCTCCCCCTCAAATAAAAATACACTGATCGTAGCAATCCTAATTTAACGATATTTTAGTGCACATTTAATCATTTTAAACTACTCTTACTGTTGCTTTAAATAAAGGGACAGCTATTATTCACACAACCAAAAGAGGCTTTTGTCATGAAAATATAAACATTTCTTACATTTGAAAAGAGATATTTTTCCTTCAAGAACAATCTCCTCTCGGGAAATTAGGTGTTTGCAAAGTATTGTTCTTACCAATGTTCTGCCTTTCTACAAACAACCTTTCGCTTCTACTAGTCGCTGTCGATATAAACTTTAACTTTTATTCTTTCGACACAACCTGAATTTGCGCTTGTTATTCTTATGTTTCTAAAGTCCTAGTTCCTAGTTTTGCAGATCACATTAAATATTCTATCCTCCTTTCTTTTCACTGTGAACGATCACGTATTGAAATGTTTTCCACTGTCTCTGCCGTTCTAAGAAAACATCTTTCTAGGTCATTTTACGGGTTCTTTAGGATGTTCTGGTTTCGTGCATCCCTGTTTCTTCTTTAGATTATAGAAAATCGGAGTGTCATGAATTCATTTTCACATCTGCTGAAACTTTCCACAACCTGTTGAATATTCTATTAAAACAGACACTTTTATGAGAGCTTGAAAGAGATTGAAAACGTACGGTGGATCTGTTTCACATTTTCTGTTGTCTGCATATGGGAGTCTTTTTCTTAAGTAGGAAAAAAAGTGTATAATATATTACTTCCCCTGTCTAGCCGTTCAATCTTCAATGAAAGATAGACCGGGAAACAGCCTCTTCCTCCACACTGTGAATGATCACAGTCTGAAAACCTATCAGCGGTGAAGCTCCTGCCATTGGGCACACTTTCCTGCTTGGAGTCAACATGGAAGGTGAAATCCGGAGAGGGTTGCGCTGTTTTCGGAGAATTCAGACGAGACGTCGGCTGCCTTGTCTCTCCGAGAGGCAGTGGAGCGTCCACTTCTATCTCACACGCTGGCAAACTTCCATCCAGCTATCTCACACCTTTCATTTTAGGGTTTATGAACTCGAATGCATGC